AGGGATACATGTTAAATCCAAAAGAAACAAAGCAAAATTTGTTAAAAAGAATAAATAAAATAGATATTAAAAGTCTCAAAGGGACATCAATTTAGGCTACTGAATACTTTTTATTGCTTTTTATTGAAGGATTTTTAACATTCATTCAATAATTTGATTATATTACTAAATTTTTTTATACATCATCATATCTTATGTTTTGCAGATAAGGGAGCTATTCCAAAGAATATCATCTAAACTTAGAGGGCATTTAACATCTAGGATGTCTATCTTTTAAATAAATATAGCAAAATTTACTTAGAGCCTACAAAAAAAGCACACAGAAGACCAGGTGAAGCTGTAACTCAAGTACAGATATATTGAGAGAAGAACCAAAGCAACTCTACTTGAAAAAATGAGTGAAGTAAATATCAAAATTACACAAGGACATTAGTATGGCCACTTGCTATTTGTTTTTGTCTGGTATTTACATTATTTTATTATTTTTTTGGCAATATTATATTGTTATTGTCACTTTGTTTCTTTCTATTCCAACATGACTTATATTTTATAGACAAAGTAGTTATTCTAAATAAAGTTAATTAAAAGAGAAACAAATTTACCATCTTAAAGACCTAATCTTTGATAAAATCTTCTTTAAAGATAAAATCAAAGCTTCTTTCTAAACTACAAAATAAAGCAAACAGAAGTAACCCAAATGAAAATAGGGATACATGTTAAATCCAAAAGAAACAAAGCAAAATTTGTTAAACAGAATAGATAAAATAGATAATAAAGTCACAAAGGAACATCAATTTAGGCTACTGCATACTTTTATATTGCTTTTTATTGAAGGATTTTTAACATTCATTGAATAATTTGCTTATACATATTATTAAATTTTTTTATACATCATCATATCTTATGTTTTGCAGACAAGGGAGCTATTCCAAAGAAATATTAACTAAAACTTAAAGGTATTTAACATCCAGGATGTCTATCTTTTGAATAAATATAGTAAAGTTTACTTAGAGCCTACAAAAAAAGCACACAGAAAACCAGGTGAAGCTGTAATTCAAGTACAGATCTATTGAGAGAAGAACCAAAGCAACTCTACTTGAAAAAATGGGTAATGTAAGTATTAAAGTTACAAAAGGACACTATTGTAGCCACTTGCTATTTGTTTTTGTCTGTTATTCACATAATTTTCAATTTGTTTTGTCTATATTTTAATGTTATTGTCATTTTGTTTCTTTCTATTCCACCATCACTTATATTTTATAGACAAAGTGGTTATTTTAAATAAAGTTTATTAAAACTATAACAAGTATAACATCTAAAGAGCCTAATTTTTAAACAGAAATAGCAAAAGTTTCTTAATAGATCACAAAAAAAAGCAAACAGAGGTGACCAAAAAGAACATAGGGATACATAGATTTTATTTAAGAACAAAATCAAAATTTGTTAAAGAGAATAGATCAAATAGATAAATAAAATCCCAAAGGGACATGAATTTGGGCTACTGACTACTTTTTATTGCTTTTTATTAAAGGATTTTTAACATTCATTCAATAGTTTGATTAAATTACTAAATTTTTTATACATCATTATATCTTATGTTTTGCAGATAAGGGAGCTATTCTAAAGAATATTATCTAAAACTTAGAGGTATTTAACATCCAGGAAGTCTATCTTTTAAATAAATATAGCAAAATTTACTTAAAGCCTGCAAAAAAAGCACACAGAAGACCAGGTGAAGTTGTAATTCAAGTACAGATCTATTGAGAGAAGAACCAAAGCAATTCTATATGAAAAAATGGGTGAAGTAAGTATTAAAGTAACAAAAGGACACTCTTATAGCCACTTGCTATTTGTTTTTTCTCTGTTATTCACACAATTTTCAATGTTTTTGTCTGTATTTTAATGTTATTATCACTTTTTTCTTTTTGTTCCACCATTGTTTATATTTTATAGACAAAGTAGTTATTCTAAATAAGGTTTATTAAAAGTATTACAAATTTAAAATCTTAAAGACCTAATCTTTGATAAAAATAGCAAAGCTTTTTTCTAAACTACAAAATAAAGCAAACAGAAGTAACCCAAATGAAAACAGGGATACATGTTAAATCCAAAAGAAACAAAGGAAAATTTGTTAAAAAAATAGATAAAATAGATAATAAAGTCTCAAAAGGGACATCAATTTAGGCTACTGAATACTTTTTATTGCTTTTTATTGAAGGATTTTTAACATTCTTTCAATAATTTGATTATATTATTAAATTTTTTTATACTTCATCATATCTTATGTTTGCAGATAAGGAGCTATTCCAAAGAATATTATCTAAAACTTAGAGGTATTTAAAATCCAGGATGTCTATCTTTTAAATAAATATAGCAAAATTTACTTAGAGCCTACAAAAAAAGCACACAGAAGACCAGTAAAGCTGTAATTCAAGTACAGATGTATTGAGAGAAGAACCAAAGCAACCCTACTTGAAAAAATGGGTGAAGTAAGTATTAAAATTACTAAAGAACATTTGTAATAGCCACTTGCTATTTGTTTTCGTCTGTTATTTAAATAATTTGCAATTTTTTGTCTATATTTTAATGTAATTATCACTTTGTTTCTTTCTATTCCAACATGACTTATATTTATAGACAAAGTAGTTATTCTAAATAAAGTTTATTAAAAGTATTACAAATTTAAACATCTTAAAGGCCTAATCTTTGATAGAAAAAGCAAAGCTTCTTTCTAGACTACAAAATAAAGCAAAAAGAAGTGCCCCAAATGAAAACAGGGATACATGTTAAACCCAAAAGAAATAAAGCAAAAGGTTTTAATGAGAATAGATAAAATAGGACATAATTTGGGCTGCTGACTACTTGTTATTGCTTTTTATTGAAAGATTTTTTAAACAATCACTCAATAATTTGATTATATTATTAAATTTTTTTATACTTTATCATATCTTATGTTTTGCAGATAAGGGAGCTATTCCAAAGAATATTATCTAAAACTTAGAGGGTATTTAACATCCAGGATGTCTATCTTTTAAATAAATATAGCAAAATTTACTTAGAACCTACAAAAAAAGTACACAGAAGACCAGGCGAAGCTGTAATTTAAGTACAGATCTATTGAGAGAAGAACCAAAGCAACTCTACTTAAAAAATTGGGTGAAGTACGTATAAAAGTTAACAAGGACATTAGTATAGCTACTTGCTATTTGTTTTTGTCTATTATTCACACAATTTTCAATTTTTTTGTCTATATTTTAATGTTATTGTCACTTTGTTTCTTTCTATTCCACCATGACTTATATTTTATAGACAAAGTAGTTATTCTAAATAAAGTTTATTAAACAAATTTTACATCCCAGTTTCTTCTGGAGAAAATTCTTCACAAAACTCATTTGTCAATAGCTGTGGATCCCTCTCGTCATTATTTAGAAAAAAATGTATGGTATCTTTATAAAACTTTAAATCAGAATTTGTTGCCAATCAGTTACATAATGCGTTTCTAATAGTTTGACAACACTCTGGGCCTTCTTTTTATCACTTACTCTGCCAGCTTCAAATTATTCAGGATTAATTGAATCGAATAATGTTTTCCTTTCTTTAAATGCCCTTTCGAACACCGATGAATTATATAGTTGACTTCGCCCTGAACTTCAATTGTATATCATCTTGCTTCGAGATCCTAAAGCGTTATGCACTGTTGAAATTGAAAGTGCCAAGCTCCTGGTGGTTTAATAACTTCTGATACTGAGGTTTTCCAATCGAACGCGTCCCAGTCTTCAACCAATCTATAGATTGTGGCGTTTTTGCTCTATTATAGCTATTTAGTTCTATGGATTCATATGTTTCTGTTTTTTTAATTTCGCCTTCAGAAATACCAAAAACTCTATCTGGTGGCATAAAACTGTGTGCTACAACTGGGAATATTAGTTCAATACAGCGATTATTAGCCGCTTTTTTATGAAGAAAACTTGCAAGCATGCCGATCATTGTAATATTTTTATTTTGACCTGGCCAGCCATCTTCACAAATCAAAATTTCTGTAACATCTCTGGAAATTTTATGTTTTGATAATCTATGAAACAAGACTGAAGCTATAACAGTTAACTTTTTTGGCAAATCTAAATTGGTCCATACATAAGCTGAAACTGTGTCAGAGTTTCATATTAGAAGTACCATTTACAAATTAAAAATTGTAAAGACTATAATTGGATAGAGAAGTAAGCTCTCTAATCAGGTAATTTTCGGAAGAGCTAAGTTTTTTTGACAATCCATTGAAAAAACTTCTCTCTCGTGCTGTTAGTTTTAACAATTTTGTAAAATGCTTTTGCTTTAAGTTTTATGTAATTCCTATAAAATATTAACTTCTTTTTTTTTGCTCCTCTTCGTTTTTCTGTCCTTATATTTTTCTTATATCTTAACAAAGAGAGCATGGGACTGTAATAGGTGTTCCAAAACCTTTATTATAGCGCGCTGCAAAATATGAACGAAAATAATGTTCCCTTAACCATAAGAGAGCTATCCACTGATATGACGTAAAGTTCAAAGAGCTTTCATATATTAAGATCATATGGTAGACAAGTTCTTTTCTTGATTTGACTCCTGCAGTAATGAGATTCCAGACATTTAAAACTCTTAATATAATTACTCATAGCTAACTTTTTTTGATCATTTTTTCTAGAACGCGGTCGCACTCCTCGTTTTTCTGATGGAGTTAATTCCTTAAAAAAACCTCTTTAACCACACCCTGAATTCTAATCTTTTTTCACGACCAAAATTTGCATAAAGGCTCTTCTGGCATACACTAATCCATTCATCACCTTGGTAATCTATACTTTATTGATACCTGTTTTTGAGAAATTGTGCTGCCCACTTCTCTCTCTGCTCGTCTTCTTCTTCTCTGCGGTGTCATAGCCTCACAACATTTTAATATGAAAGCATCTTGTTTTGATGAAATTTCATTTTGATTTAGATGAAAGTTTTAATGAAATTTCATAAAATCTTTATAAACGAATTGCAAATCCCTCATAGTAAATAAATTGCATTTCAAGAACTTTTTTATGGACACATCTTGGGTTTTCAGGCAAACCTTTAGCTGAATATCTAAAAAACAAAAAAAAATGATTAGTTTGATGCACTAAAACATTATCTAGCTCTCTATGCTTACTTATTTTTCAAGCGACTACCCTTTTGTGTTTATCACAAGCTGTACGATTCTTTTCCGTCTACATTCTGGGTCGTTTTTATCTATAGAGATACCAATATTATCGTTATCCATTACAACCAAACAAAAGGAAATTTTCGTAAAACCTACTTTGAATAAGGCAAGATGAGAAATTCTTTCAACAAACTGAAAAAAGTACTCTGCAGCAGGGGCAATTCAATTTCTGAAGACTTCTGAGATATGTGATAATGAGGCTTGGCTTTAAGAAAGAATTCGACAATTGGAAGCCTTCGAGTTATGGGCCTACAGAAGGATATTAAGAATAAGTTGGGTAAATAGAGTCACGAAGATCGAGGTGATGAGAAGAATGAGAAAAGATAAAGAGGTCTTCAATACAGTTAAAGTCGAAAACTGCAATATCTAGCACATGTTAGAGGGTGACGATAATATTGCAAGTAATAAAGTAAGGAAGAATACAGGTAGAAAGAGAGTCCCGCAGAAGAAGACGCATCTAATGGTAAATGCACATCTGCTGACCTCTTTGAGTAGCGGCAGTCGAAAGTGCGAATTGCCATGATGGTTGCCAACCTTCTTAGAGGAGATGGCACGTGAAGAAGAAGAAGACTTTGAATAATATCCAAACAACAGTAAAAACATACATGGTTAGAAACTGCCACATGCCATTTCGCGGGACGGCTAAGTCACGTGTCAGCCCAAACGTTTCGCTATTAGCAAGGCCGGACTTGGCGGTCTTTGCAACTAAATTTTTTTGTACAGCGGTTTTTGCAGCTAAGCGTATTGTCTCGTTTAAAATTACTCCGGTTTAAGGTTGAATTTGCACTTAAAATATGTTTGAACTTATGTATATACACATAAAGAACAAATTCCCGTATCAAACGCAGATTTCACAAAAATGTGACTTAACAGGTTTTTGCTTCTATACCCCTCTCTATAAATTCTTTTCCCTCTAAATTCTCGTATATTTTAATATGTTTTATTTTGCAATATTAACGTTTTATGTAATTTTATTAAATTATAATTGTTATTGTTATTTTTTTTTATATTTTTGTAAGCTTTGTCCATAAAATTGTACAATTTTCAGTGACAATAAGGCATATTTCCATTTATTCTATTCTATTCTATTGATGATAACAGAAAGGCACATAGAACAGTAATTATTTATCAAAGAAATAATGAAGGATTCTATAAACGAATAAATAAAGATAAAAATTAACAACAGTTAATAAACAATAAATAAAAATATCCTTAAATTATAATACATAGTGGCGACGAATAAAATATTTAAACATCACCATTGAGCCTTAATAAAATACGACGGGATATATTACTCATATAAGCAATGAGTAAAAGACTTGCTGTGGAATGAAATCACCAATTTTATGACAGGAATATGATTGTCAGTATACTTTTGACCACCGCGCGGTTATTTCGTAGTGTTAAACACGTTTTGTGCCGTACAGTGTTTATGTGTTACATTATTAAGGATTATTAGGATTATTAATTATAAATTGGTAAGTACTTATTGTGCTAATTAGTATTATAGTTTTAATTTTATAGCAAAATCATTTTTAAATTAAATACTCACTCTATAAAGCCTTTCCTATCAATTTTGATCTGTTACGGCTTTTTTCAATTTGTTATTAATATA